GTAGGGAGTCCTTGTAGAGTCCTGCACGTAGGCCATCTGACAGAAGCGACAAGAAGCATCCAGGAACAGCTCTTCCAGCCTGCTGGAATCTCCGCTCCCAGACACAGCATGCCGATCTCTCACGCAGAGGAAAAGAAACAGAGCAAGCTCCCTCAAAACAATCCAGAGAATGGCACAAACCGAGCCGCGCATTCTCCACCAAATCTGTTAGGATTTAGCAGACAGAGACGGATCGTGGTGTGCCAAACTCTGGAAGTTTATTTAAGTTTCTCTCAAGTTCCACTGGTTTACTCTGTTTCTCTCTCTCAGACAGAATAAAGGCAGTACACAGTTTATATAGTCATTGTCACGTCACACATGGAAAGACATACGTGTCACAAAGAGACAGTCAAATCATAGTCATAACATGGAGTCCTTGTAGAGTCCTTGTAGAGTCCTGCACGTAGGCCATATTGCTATCTAATACTAATAATGGTAATCGACTTCAGGATAAAACCACTTTCCCACACGCTGCTGAACATCCAGGGGGAGGACATTGAGCTGGTGGACAGCTTCAAGTACCTGGGTGTTCACATAAACAATAAACTGGACTGGTCCCATACCACCAACGCTCTGCACAAGAAGGGCCAAAGTCGCCTCTTCCTTCTGACGAGGCTGCGGTCCTTCTGAGGAGGCTGAGGTCCTTCTGAGGAGGCTGAGGTCCTTCTGAGGAGGCTGAGGTCCTTCGGAGTGAGCAGGCCTCTGCTCAGGACCTTTTATGACTCTGTGGTAGGCTCTGCCATACACTACGCTGCCTGTGCTGGGCCCCGGGCAGCACAGAATGGGACAGCCCCCTGGACTCTGTGGAGGAGGTGAGGGACAGGAGGGTGCTAGTCAAGCTCCTCCAGCAGACTGTTCCAGAGACGGGGCCGTAGTGATGGACGTAAAGCACTTTGGGTGACCTTGGTCTGTAAAATGCGCTATATAAATAAACATTACTTACTCACTTACATATGCCTCAGCTTGAGTGTGTGTCCTGGCTTTGGTAATGGAGGAGTCTGCTGCAAGAACCGGGATGGTTCTTTGGATAAAAGCAGTTATGAGTAATAAGAAGGCCCAACACCATGAAGACATAAAAAAAACCAGTGAAAGAACCTAAAAATTGATCCTGAAACACACGGGAAGCCAATGCAACAAATTTAAAACCGATGTAATAAAACTGTACTGTATTAAAAGTCAGGATCATATTCCTCCCCTAGCTGTAGGGGGTACACCTCTTTTTGAGTCATTTAAGTATTTTAAAGTATTTTCAATGAATTTTTAAAGGCAAATATGAGCATTTTAGCTCAATAGCTTCCAGGTCATGTGATCTATTGACTCCAAATCAGGTCAGGATCATAGTCCTCCACTAGCTGCAGGGGGTACACCTCTTCTTTTATCATTAAAATGTTTTAAGTATTTTTAATGAATTTTTATATGTAAATATTAGCATTTTAGCTCAATAGCTTCCAGGTCATGTGATCAATTGACTCCAAATCAGGTCAGGATCATAGTCCTCCCCTAGCTGTAGGGGGCACACCTCTTCTTTTGTCATTTAAGTTTTTTTAAGTATTTTTAATGAATTTTTAAAGGCAAATATTAGCATTTTAGCTCAATAGCTTCCAGGTCATGTGACCTATTGACTCCAAATCAGGTCAGGATCATAGTCCTCCACTAGCTGTAGGGGGTACACCTCTTCTTTTATCATTAAAATGTTTTAAGTATTTTTAATGAATTTTTATATGTAAATATTAGCATTTTAGCTCAATAGCTTCCAGGTCATGTGACCTATTGACTCCAAATCAGGTCAGGATCATAGTCCTCCACTAGCTGCAGGAGGTACACCTCTTCTTTGATCATTAAAATGTTTTAAGTATTTTTAATGAATTTTTATATGTAAATATTAGCATTTTAGCTCAATAGCTTCCAGGTCATGTGACCTATTGACTCCAAATCAGGTCAGGATCATAGTCCTCCACTAGCTGCAGGAGGTACACCTCTTCTTTGATCATTAAAATGTTTTAAGTATTTTTAATGAATTTTTAAAGGCAAATATTAGCATTTTAGCTCAATAGCTTCCAGGTCATGTGACCTATTGACTCCAAATCAGGTCAGGATCATAGTCCTCCCCTAGCTGTAGGGGGTACACCTCTTCTTTTGTCATTTAAGTTTTTTAAAGTATTTTTTATGAATTTTTACATGGAAATATTAGCATTTTAGCTCAATAGCTTCCAGGTCATGTGACCTATTGACTCCAAATCAGGTCAGGATCATAGTCCTCCACTAGCTGCAAGGGGTACACCTCTTTTTTGTCATTTAAGGTTTTTTAAAGAATTTTTAATGAATTTTTAAAGGCAAATATTAGCATTTTAGCTCAATAGCTTCCAGGTCATGTGATAAATTGACTCCAAATCAGGTCAGGATCATAGTCCTCCCCTAGCTGTAGGGGGAACACCTCTTCTTTTGTCATTTAAGTTTTTTTAAGTATTTTTAATGAATTTTTAAAGGCAAATATTAGCATTTTAGCTCAATAGCTTCCAGGTCATGTGACCTAATGACTCCAAATCAGGTCAGGATCATAGTCCTCCACTAGCTGCAGGGGGTACACCTCTTCTTTGATCATTAAAATGTTTTAAGTATTTTTTATGAATTTTTAAAGGCAAATATTAGCATTTTAGCTCAATAGCTTCCAGGTCATGTGACCTATTGACTCCAAATCAGGTCAGGATCATAGTCCTCCCCTAGCTGTAGGGGGTACACCTCTTCTTTTGTCATTTAAGTTTTTTAAAGTATTTTTTATGAATTTTTACATGGAAATATTAGCATTTTAGCTCAATAGCTTCCAGGTCATGTGACCTATTGACTCCAAATCAGGTCAGGATCATAGTCCTCCACTAGCTGCAGGGGGTACACCTCTTTTTTGTCATTTAAGGTTTTTTAAAGAATTTTTAATGAATTTTTAAAGGCAAATATTAGCATTTTAGCTCAATAGCTTCCAGGTCATGTGATCAATTGACTCCAAATCAGGTCAGGATCATAGTCCTCCCCTAGCTGTAGGGGGAACACCTCTTCTTTTGTCATTTAAGTTTTTTTAAGTATTTTTAATGAATTTTTAAAGGCAAATATTAGCATTTTAGCTCAATAGCTTCCAGGTCATGTGACCTATTGACTCCAAATCAGGTCAGGATCATAGTCCTCCACTAGCTGCAGGGGGTACACCTCTTCTTTGATCATTAATATTTTGTAAGTATTTTTTATGATTTTTTATATGTAAATATTAGACCAGCGTACATGTCTCCGCGTGTTTACCGTACTGTGTGTAGTACGGGTGGACTTAAATGTTGCGGCGAATGTCTGTCGGATATCCAACTTCAAACTAACTTCACCGCGGTAGAGCAGGACACGGGACAGCACGGCACCGGAACCACGACCCGGATCACAATGATCGCCATCGCCTCACGAGTCCCCAGGGAACACCACCGAAGCCGAACTACCGCAGGAGGCAGAGGGCGCTCTGCCTTCGCGTGTAAGTACCTCAACACATTGAGTAGTGGTGTTCATGTAGTAGCCTTTGGCGGGGGGATTCTGTGGGGTGTATTGGCGTTCTCTGTGTGGTTGTGCTCTGCCTCCAGGGTCCGTGGCGCCGCAAGAGACGCATTGTCCCGGATTGAGCACCGCGAGGCGTAATCCAGACGGTGGCCGAGTGTAAAGCCTAGCGTACATCGGACTGGCAACTGATTATATCCGTCGCCTCTGAGTTGCTGCCCCGCACACATCGACAATCTGGCGAAAACGGGCAACTCTGAGTCGCAGGCCAGTCTCTTGAATAACAGCGCGTACATCGACAGCAACAGGCCTCAACTACAGTGTGTTTTCTGACAACAAACTGTTGCGGGCTCGCAATACACGCAATACACACACGTTGTTGGAGCGGCGCATGGAGCGCGCACATCGGGTCATATCTCCGAAACTGAGGACAACTAGTTGCCGAAAAGTAGAACACGGGCAACTGACTGGAACTGGAGACCGACTGATCATCTCCAGTTGTAAGAGCGCGCACATCGACCGATTTCGGCAACTGATCATCTCCCACCATCTCCTCTCAGTTGCCAAAAGCCGCCTTGCAACTAGTTGTCCCCAGTTTCTCTGTCGATGTACGCTAGGCTTAAAACCTCGGCCTCGCTGGTAAGTGTGTGAAAGCAGCGGTGCTCGTGTTTTAGTGGACGAAATGTCGATGTAGCTTTGCTGTTGGCCTCCACTCCGCTGCCGCTGTGCTTTTGTGCCTGCAGGGCCCGAGACGCTGAAGGGACCTGGGCTGAATGAACACGTGTCGGGACTAATTTTAATCCGCTCTTTTTTAAATCGGACATTTTTAACATTGTTTGTAAATAAATTATTTTTTAAACGCATCAGTAGTTTCATTTACTGCAATTACGTGCTCCCCTCGGCTCTCACATAAGCAGGATTTAAAAAAACTAAATGTCAACATCATTTATCATTTATTGAACAGATGCATAACATAAGCATGTATAACATAAGGAGGCAAGAGACCAGGCTGGGCTTTTAGCTTTTGTATTACAGCTTTACAACGTAACGTGTCATCAACATTTTAGTTGTCAACGTAACTCTTCTATGTGCGTAAATACAGTGGCACATTTACTTATGTCAATACATAACAATTACCTATTTTGTCATTAATGGAAACATGTTAGAGGATATAAAAAGTATTGGTCACAAAGCCTTGTTTTAAAACCCTGCAGTATCTCAGCATCACATTGATCACAGAGAATCACAAGGTTCTGCTTCATTCAGAACTGTTCACATCTGTAAGTTTTGTGTTCTGAATGTCTTCAAAGATTTTGATTGTATGCTAACTATGAATGCTTTTGTTTTAATGATATTGTGGATGCACAACAAAGGAAGTGCTGCCTGCGACTGACAGGATCTAAACTCCCAAAATATTGAACTTCCAAGTTGATATTTCAGTTAGGGATCCAGGCAGGAGATGAAAGTGCTCCTGGTTCTGAGGATGTTGTATGATGACAAGGGTTCTGCTGTAAAACAAACATAACAACATAGCATATCAGTACAATAAACCAATACAATACCCTCTTACTTTATATGGTGTGAAGTGAAAAAGTAGACTCAGACGTACTTTTGTACAAGTAACTGTTTCAGGAATAAAAGGAAGCCCCATGCAGACGCTGTGATGTGTGAGGTAGCATTTAACCCTCTGTTCTGAACGTCCATGATCCAAGAACCAGCAAGTACTTCCTGAAAAAAAATAAAGACTATTACCCTCAAAGATCCAAAATGAGCCCTGGTCCCAGAGTTTCATCTTAGATATTTACTTGAAAACATCAGCCGATTATACAGCACCAATGTAGCTGGCGAGATTGTAACTTTAGTCATTCAGGCAACTTCACTTCTGGGAGGAGACCAGGGAAGACCCAGGTTGGAGGGAGCAGGTCTCTCAGCTGGCCTGGGAACGCCTCAGGACACCCCCAGATGAGCCGGAGTTAATGTGTGGAGAGGGATGTTTGGGTGTCTTCTCAGACTGCTGCCCCTGCAACCTGGTAACAGAAAAAGTGGAATAATTTATTTTTATTTTTATGGATTTCTCTTTAAAAATGCTTCGACTAGTATATTGTTTTCATTCTAGTGTCCTAGTATAAGCATTTAGTCTGGTAACAACACTAAAGTCTGGATATGAAGTTGTTAATGTGTCATGGTGTGGACATTTTGACCTGGTTTTATTTTGCTATATATTATGTTATGTAGTTTGAGTTTGAATCCTGCCTGTCCTGTTGATTGCTGCCCCGCCCTAATGTGATTCATCTGTGTGTCCCTGTGTGTATATATACCCTGTGCCCTTCCTCACTTGTTGTCCGTCCATTGTCTCAACCATGTTTGTCTTGTTTTCTCAGTTCTGGATTTTTGTGGTTTTTGTCACTCTGGGTTTCGATTTGATTAAATTACATTTTTAATTTTCAGTCCTGCATTTTGGGTTCCCTTTTTCTTCATTTCCCTACGTGACATAATGATTGATTACTAAAATAATTGATTATTGAAATTAATGGTTGTCCATTTTTGATATAGTAATAATGTACAAATCAATATAGTTTTCTGAATCTTCCATAGACTTCAACAAAAATAACAATGCAATGAATATGTGTTTACAATCCAATGTGTAACAGTTGTCTCCGAAAGTTGGGTCAAATGGAGATAAATCCCATATTCACTGAGCTTTTGAATCTAAACAACTAATCATAAATTATGGCCAAATAATCTATGAAATGTTGCCATTAATCATCCATCCATCCATTTTCTACCCTTTAATCCATTTCTGGGTCAGGGGGATGGCAATCAGCGATGCCACCCAAGTCTCATAGCACCAGCCCCTCACTGACCCTCTGCAGGTGGTGAGTCCACAGGAGGACGGCTGCTCTCTGAGTGTGAGCATAGCCTTGATCTTTCAGTGGGGGCTTTGGGCAAAGTGGGGTTAAGTGTCCTGCCCAAGGACACAACGGCAGCAGTCATCAGTGGGAGTTGGTGGAGAAGGTGCAGAGGTGGGAATTGAACCCACGACCTTCTGGCCTTAAGGCCAATGCTCTACCATTGGCCAACACAGCAGGTCTGAGGGACTTGGACAGGGCAGGCTTTGCACTCCAGCTGAAACCATCTCAATATAGTTTGTGTCTGGATACACTTAAAGTTTTGCTCACCTTCTGCAGTTTGGGTCTGGAACTGGTTCCTGTCCGTACAGAGGACAGGTCTGAGGCTCCTCTCCGTACAGAGGACATGTCTGAGGCTCCTGTCCTTACAGAGGACATGTCTGAGGCTCCTGTCCTACCTGCAGGGCTCGTGCGGGCTTTGACTCCGCTCTAAAGTCCAAAACCGTTTACAATTGGAGAGACAACAGACCGTCCAAACAGTCCGAACGCGTAGAAACAACAACACCATCTTCAAACGCGGATTGCTCAATGAACTCTTAACACAAACAGATAAAACTTACCGCGACAGAAGATGAACAAACGTTATCCGTGAGCGCTACCAGCAGGGACACGGGCGAGTTCGGCAACAAGGCAGGGCTGTCATAGATCCATGGGCTGTGCGCATTTCAGTGTAGTATAACTATGGCTAAGATCCATGGGGCTAACCCACCTCATATTAGCCCCGTGTTATTATCCGACATGGTAGCCAAGCGCGCTTTGATGACGTCGCTGTTTACGTTTCTGTTGCTCACCTGCCTATAGACCTTTTTCACGCCACGCCCCTTGTCCGCCATCTTCCGCCTTCTCGGAGAAAGCAACTTCCGGTTTCGCGGTAAGTCAATGACAGGATCATACTTTTCAGAAACGAGTTGAAATATCTCAATATCTTCTGCTTTTTCAGAAACTTCCTTCGGGCTATGTAGGGAGCACCCCGGTACGGTCACATTTATTGGAATATTTCTCCCTAAAAGGTTTGTGTCTTAGTAAAATCGGTGGTTTGTCAAGCTAAAGGCTAAGTTAGCATCCAGTTACCTGCACGGCTGTTTTTTTCTGAACACAATCTTTAGTTTTAAATAATAGTATTGCTTAATAAGTTCAAGACTAAAGGTGTAACTACATTAGTATTATGTGTGGTATTTTCTTTTTTTTTTTTTACTAGAATGGCATCCAGAAAATCTTGCTGTGTGCCTCTTTGTTCAGCTGACAAGAGAACACATCCTTACATAAGTTTCCACGAGTTCCCCATGGATGTTTGTAGACGTGCCAAATGGATCTGGGCCATTCGGAGAGATGAGGGTCCACTTTTTAAGGTGGAAAATGGACGCAGTGCTGTCTGCAGTTTACATTTTGGACCAGATGACCTCTACACATCCAAAGGAGGATTGAGGAAGGTCCAGAAGAATTCTGTGCCATCCAAATTTGTTTGGAATAAATGGGGTAAGGTGTGTGTTTGTGTCTGTGTCCTAATGGCAGCAAAAGGTATACTGAATAACTATTGTTTATCTCAAATAATTAGGTGACTTGGCCTAAATGTTTTTTCCACATAATCATCTGAACAGTATTGTAAACATAATTAAATTTATATTGTTGTTTTGTAAAGGAAAAGAAGTAAAGGAAAGGCCAACGAGGCACCGATGTTTAGAGGTAATTGAAGGGGAGTGCGAAGATCTTTGTCCGGAAGAGCTTGAGAGAGAGATGGTGGCTGCCACACAAGGAACAGTAGCCAAGGCTGTTTCAGACCATGATTACACAAAGCATCCTTCTCCTGGTGAGTATTCATACGGCAACGTATGCACTTAAGAGCAAGTTTAAAAAGTAGTTACCTGGACTCTGGATTAATTGGTTTGAGAACAGGAAATTGTAGCAAGCTTAATCCTGTCCAAAGGGAGATGTAAACTTTGGAACAGCTGTCCAGATGACTAATTTTGATAGATGGATGACTATTTTGATCAACTGCTTGATGAATGGGGGATTATAACGCTTAATATATTGTTTTTCTTTTCTAGGACAAGTAGACAGGGCTGCAATGCAAATTAAGGACTTGGAGCAGAAGGTGTTATGTCTGGAGCGGAAACTACATGAACTAACATTTAAAGACGAGCTGCCTCTTGTATACAAATTTTGTGTAACAGATGAGGACTTTCGCTATTATTGTCGATTTTCTTCTATAGAGGTTTTTGAGATATTTTGGGAGTCTATTCAGCCTTCTGCATCCAATCTTGTTTATTGGAGTAAGGCACAGCAATGTGCAGTAGTTGAAAAACCAAGCCCTATGAGAAAGCTTCCGCTCATTGATGAATTTTTTTTGTTTCTTTGTCGTGTTGCCGCTGGGCTTCAAGAGAGGACATTGGCAACCATATTTGACATCAGTACTTCTACAGTGAGTCGCATAATTATAACTTGGAGTAACTACCTTTACCAAGTGCTGGGTTCACTACCAACATGGATGACAAGAGAACAAGTGCAAGATACAATGCCAGAAAAATTCAAGCCTTATTGTCCAAATGTTAGGGTTATCATTGACTGTACTGAAATAAGGTGTGAAAGTGCATCTTCCTTAACACTAAACTCAGAAACATTTTCAAACTACAAAAATTACACAACTTTCAAGGGTTTGATTGGAATTAACCCATGTGGTAACATCACATTTGTTTCAAAACTTTACACAGGTTCAATTTCAGATATAGAAATCACAAAAAGGTCAAAGCTCCTGCAGCTACTTGAACCTGGCGATGCTGTGATGGCAGACAAAGGCTTCCTGATTGAGAAGATGCTATCAGATATTGGAGTAGAACTCATCATTCCTCCTCTAAAAAAATCCAGTCAGTTCAGTCAGGAGGACACTCTTAAGACTCAAGCTATTGCTCGTTTGAGAATTATAGTTGAAAGAGCAATAGGCAGGGTCAAGACTTATCATATTTGGGATAGGCCAGTACCTCTTACTATGACAGGCTCTGTCAACCAGATTTGGGCTGTATGTTGCTTATTGTCAAACTATCAGGGGCCTCTGGACCTCAAACAAGACAGACCTGTTTAATGTAACAAGTAAAACGGGGGTAGTAAACCTGTGGCTCTCAGATATTTACTTGTATCCAGGTATTCTGAAACATTTTCCAAACAGATTTTCCATGCATTGTTTTTATACAACCAATGTAATTCAATCTGTGCTACTGCTGTTGTTTGATTATGCACAAGTATAACATATGTATTGGATTTTGTCAGTAAAACAAAATGTTGCATTTTAAACTTGTGGGTCTTGTTTTAGAAAGGTATTTTTTTTGCTCTGCTGAAAACGTTTGACCCCTGAACTAAAACAATGACTTTACTACATCCACAGAATTGTGCACATGAGTTGAACGGCATGCACAAACTGTTTGCAATGTAATTTATTTAAAATGAAACAGAGGAAGTCACATTACCATTGAAATAGTAAAATGCCTGGAACATCTTTAAGTGAAAATATTGAAAAAGTTATTCCCATTCAAACTAAACATTTCATTAGTTCTACTAATTTGTATGTATTGTTTTTTTTTTTTTTTAGCTACACTAGAGTCTTGCTGTATTTCATTTAAGGAACTCGTCCATGAAAACATGGAAATAATAATGATCCAGTTTAGGCCTCATTGCTTGTATCATTTCTTCATCTCTGTAAATCCTCTCCACAGAGAAGTCACCATTTGTATCAGTCACAAAATCACACCACTGAATGCCTGTAATGGCAAGTTGTCCTTGTACCTGAAAGTAGTACTTGTGACTCTTTTTGAGTGCAGGTTTGTCTTTCACTGTGAGATGTTTTACCTCCCCCATATTTGCAACATCGCAAGCCTTTACTTCTGCAAGCCCAAATGGTGGACACTCTTGGGGATC